GAAGGGTAATTTTAGTAAACCATTTTTGAGTAATCATACGGCTGATAGTAGCAAGAGTTGCATTATCAGAAGGCGGGGTTGCATTATCAGAATGTTGAGTGGAAGCAGAAGGAGAGATATGTTCAGGTTCCTCAGTTGGAACATGAAAAGTAGCATTCCTAACTAAAAGATCTTGACTTGCAGAAACAATTGCAAGATGTTTATGGAGAAGAATATTGTCTTCTTTCAACGCAGTAATTTCTGACTTAAGAATGGTCACTTCTTTGTGAAGATCAGTGACAGAAATCGCCGTGGAAATAGAATGTTTATGCTGAAGAAGGCGATTTAATTCTTTCATCGAGTAATCAATATTATTGATAGGAGGAGGAATAGTAGAAGAGCTGGTTTTATTAAACTCAAGATTCTCTAAAATCTCAGAACAAATCATAGGATCTTTAATTTTTTGTAAAAGTTTTAAAACMTTTTCATCAGTTAAAACATTAATATTYAGATCCTGAAATTGAGAAAGGAGTTTATAAAACTCATCATTGTTATCAGTAGAAGTGTTATTTTGAATAACATTGAGACAGTTTTTAATACAAGGCTGACCAATAGCGCAAGTATCACAAGGAGAAGATTGTAAATCTTCAGATTCAGAAGATAAATAAGAGTCATCTTCACCAATGACATAAGTACTATKAGTAGAGCTAGAATCAGAATCAGAATCAGAATGAGCATCAGGCTCATCATCAGAATTTTTGAAATTTAGAAAGATGTTTAAGAGAGAATCTTTCGTATTCTGATCAATATTTAAATTATTGATCTTTTTCTTGGTCCAACAATTTGCTGAAGAATGGCCAATCTTGCCACAATTTTGACAAAYAATTTTGTTTTTCTTAAAACCCTGAGAGTTTTTAAAAGATTTTCTATGTTTAGAAACATCAGGTTTTTTAGAGTCTTCAGTTCTGTGAGATTTTTGTAAATCTTTATCAAAAGTTTTTCTCTTAAACCTTTTTTTATAATGGCGATAACCATAATCCTTATCGCGAGTTTTATGAAATTTTCTTTTAGGTTTCTTATAACGAACCTCCATACCAAATTGGTCACAAAAATCACCAAGCTGTTTTCGTTCAAGCAAATTTTGCTTMCGGATTTGATGTTTTAATTTCAAATCATTGCAAAGAGAAAGACCTTCTGCAATACAAGTGCTGATTAGCTGACCATAGGTATAATCATCATAGTTAACAGAARTATTATCCTTTTTAAGAATCTTACGGACTCTTTCAGCAAAAAGATGAGGAAGACCATCWATRAACTTGGCTTTCCAATGACTGTTATTACAATCTTTTAATTCAAAGATACGGGAAAGAAACGTATCTTTATACCAACGAAACTCTGTAAGAGTCTTGCAACGAAGATTACTGATTAAGGTTCGAATATTTTCATGGTTATCAGAGAACCTACCAGTAAAATGCTCTATAAGAGTAAGGACTAAGGGATAGACAACATTTGATGTCTCTTCACCATTTTCAGTCTTAACAGAGTTAAGAATTTGGTCTTTCTGAACAAGGGGAATATAATTATCCCACCAACCTTTGAGTTGGCCAGTAAAACCAGCTATAATCATTTTGGCAATACTCTTATCATTATTGCCTATGTTCTTACAAACTGTACTATACATGAACATGCGATGACCCATATTATAAATATGCTTATCAGCAAACCCATCAAGGCTCCACTCATAAATGCATTTACCATTATAACTATTGTTAATAATGTACTTCTGTTCTTCATGAAGAACATCCATAGGAGTAGGGCGATTATAATAATATTTATTAAGATTCGGAGTCTTAGCCCATTTCATTTTATGAATCTGGTTATTATGTAAACCATCATCCGAATTTTCTAACCCAGAGTCAGAAAGGGAATCCTTATTAAGCATGGAAATGGATGGTTTAGAAATATGCAGATGTGAAAGCTTTAAATCAAGCTGTTTCATAAAATCGTCAGCCGGAGCTGGGGATTTGAGTTTAAAATCAGTTATCTCAGGAGGAGGCTGAATAGTATTAGAAGTTAAAATAACTTTCTTCTCAGAAGAGGAGGTAATATCATCAGCAGGAAGATCAATTTGGTTTTGCTTATATATCTCGATTTGAGAAATTTTCTTTAAGATTAAGGAAATATTATCCTCAATGGAAAAAAGTTGTTCTCCAATATTTTTTAATAAAAGATTAGAATAATTCTGCTTTTCCAGTAATTCGTTAATATGTAACGAAGTAACAGAAAGAGTATTATCTTTGATAAGATTAGAAAAAGCAGAGAATCTGAAGAAAGAATTGTTGTTTTTCATAAGAAAAGGAGACTGAGGAGGATAAATTGTGGATTTAATATCTCCATTTAGAAGTTGATAATCCCTTTGAAGAACATGTATAAAATGTTTTACATGAGTATGAAAAAACCAAGGAATAAAAGAGAAAGTCTCATTTTCCTTAGTGCAGAAGGCATAAAATTCTGCAGAGAAATTAGCAATTTCTTCTTTTGAAAAGTTTTCAACATACCAAGTCCKRAAMGRAGCCCATTTCGGATTTCCATAATAATCATTGCAGACAAGCTGTCTAGCAGGAGAACCATGAGTGAAATCTATTTTTCCCTCACTAGTGACCCAACTTCTTGTAGAAGAAAAAATCATTAAAAACTTAGAGGGTAAAATCAGACATGGTCTCTATAGCCCTATGAGGTTGTCTGGTACTGATGTTACCCACTTGGGTAACTGGATTGTTATGAACAATTCCATTTCTATGAACTCTAAGTTCATCAATAGGTTGTTGAGAAGAAGACTCAATATGTTCTTCTGGCTCAGAAGATTGAGCCTGAGTGTCCCGCAAATAGGAGGTTGAGGCCCTAGAGGGCTGACTAGCTTTAGCTCCAAAGGGAGAGATAAAGCTATGGATTCCATGAGACAAAGAATGAGACCTTAAAAGAGGTCTGGTCTCAGTGTAAGGAATATTGCGAGGGTCATCGAATTGAATATAGACAGTTCCATCATCTGTCTGAGTGATATTACTAAAATCACTTTGAACAATCGGTTGTCTAGGAATATTCCTAGCTAAAAACCATCCTTCAGGGAAAACTATTTCATCCCATTTGATAGATCTTCTGGTTTGGATCTTAGATCTATTATAATTGGTTTCTATGAGAATAGTCTCATTAATATCCTTATCAACTCTTTTACATCTAGGATTAAAAGTAAATAAAGGCTTAAAATAGATTCTATAACAAATACAGAAAACTTCTGTTCCTGCAGAATAGTTATAACCATTAGTTTTAACATTTAATGTTAAAGCATCAAGAATATTAACATCAGTTAATGAAAGACTCAAATTAGGATAAACATCAAAATAGACTGGGCCATGTGCCAGACTAGATTGGATCATTCCAATTAAGGATTGCTGCCAATTTAGATTTCTTCCATCCCTAAGGGCTGCAAGAAAGCTTTCTGGTAATCCTTCAAGAGTGAGAGGTTTAAATGCAATTTGCACAAGACCAATATGTAAAAACTTATGAGTTTTTAAATAAGGCATAAGATCTTTTCTATTAAGAAGACGAATCATCATTTCATCTTTATGAAGAGGAATTGAGGATTCTGTGGTTTTAACAATATGTTTTAAACCAAGTTTTTCAAAAGTGCCTATTTTATAAATRAGTTTAGGCTCAACTCTTGGAATAGTCCAATGATCCAGTCCATCAAGATTTTGAGGAATATCATATTCCTCTGTCATACTGTTATGAACAGTATCATCACAAATTTTATTAACTTTTTAAAATTATTTTAATACTATTTGTTGATGATTCTATTAACAACTAATATATATTTATATAGACAATCTTCATATCATTAAATAAAGTACTTATGCTATTGCGTAACTCGCTATTCCCATACTAATTTTATTCTAATATAGTTACGTAGTTTCTAACAAAGCCACACACTGGTATAAAAATGAGAAAACTTGAATTATAGAAATCTCAAAAGAAAAATAATGATTGACAATTTTTCATAATATATATGTAAAAAATAGTTGGTTAGCATCTCCAACAAATTCAATTTACATTTATTTCCAACAGATTCTTTATTTTAGAAAATCAATATTGATTACAATATTAAAATATTTCATTCATCTACTAAAATATTATTTCATCTAAATATTTATTTTTTAAGTTTTCAATTGATACTCTCGCTCGCTTGGTAATTATTTTTTAGATATCATATTTTTTACTATTCTACATTCGAGAGAATTTTGAAGAATTTCTTGAAACAAAATATCTATACTATATTATAAAGTATTTGACAAAAACTCTTAAAAATCACTTTTTATGCATAAAATACTATTTATTAATGCATATTATTTAAAACTCAAAATTACAAGTAGATTGTGCGTAAGTACAACTTATTAAAGCTCAATGCCTGAATTCGTATAACTAACTGCAGATAAACATAATTAAATACAGGATAAACGACTCATTTTAAATATAAAAAATCTAAAATATAATTAGGATAATCATTGAGTTCCAACAGAATACTTAATTATTATCTTTATAAAAATATTAGACTAAAAATAAATTATTTCATTATTAAAATTAAATTAAATTATAAAAAACAATTAAAAAAATTAAATAAAAAATAAGAACTTTTAAATAATTGATTTAATATTAACATTGATATATATATATTTTCAAGTTTTTATGATATCTTCATATTTATATTTTATTCAAAAATAAAATCATTATTATTTTCTTAAAAACACATAAAATTATATTATAACATCGACAGATATAAAAAATAAAATATAATATTAAAATCAAAATATATCTCACTGCATTACACGAATACCCTTCTAATATCTTTGAAACCCCCGTTTTCTTGGTTTTTCATATTTTAAAGAATCCATCTTAAAAAACTGTACTCGACTTTTTGGTTTTTTTCTTTCGATGTTCCGCGTTTCAGAATCGTGTGTTCCCGGTCTCATGTGACTCACCATCGCCGAAAGCTGTTTTGGTTCCATTTTCAGAGAGATCTACACCATTTGTGAACGTAAGAATCGCTACCATTCCTATTTCCCTCTTCGGATTTCTTTCCTTGTTATCTTTCTAACCGTTTTCTTCTATGCTGATATAGTGATATCAAGCTTTCTTCACCACCCATTAACTTGTTAGATCTTTCGCTTGTTCGCCGTTTTATGATTATTGTTCATCTGCATTTGTTTATCGGTTTTCTAGTTATGAACTTACCAAGCTTTTCAGGGTTTTAGTTCGCGGGATGTATTTCTTATAATCGGATTTTCTTGCATTAGGGTTTCTGTTTGAACAGGAAGCAACAATTGGCTGATTTTCGGGGAAAATCAGTTCCTTTCATTTTTATTCTGAAGGAAAATATTGGTTGGGTTACCTCTGTAAATGGAGAAGGACAAGTCTCCAAACCTCGGTGGGAGTTTGTTGCCTCCTTCTGGGAGGCATTTGGTGTATTCGCCACCGTCTGGAAATAATTTGAGTGTCAAATCGGAGCCATCAGGGTCAACTACATTGCCTCCGATTGGACCTGGCAGTGGCACTACTGAACCTGTTCGATTTGGTGGTCAAGGGAGTTGTGATTCTAGCCGTTTCAGTCATGATGTTAGCAGAATGCCTGATAACCCACCCAAGACTTTGGGTCATCGACGGGCCCACTCTGAAATTCTCACTCTACCAGATGATATTAGTTTTGATAGTGATCTTGGTGTAGTGGGTGGCTTTGATGGACCTTCGTTCTCTGATGAGACCGAAGAAGATCTGTTTTCTATGTACCTTGACATGGATAAGTTCAATTCTTCATCTGCAACATCTACCTTTCAAGCGGGTGAATCATCTTCATCTGCAGTGCAAGTTTCAGCAGCTTTGACATCCCTGCCTGAGAACCTTGTCCCCAGCTCCAGTGAAAGGCCGAGGGTTAGACATCAGCATAGTCAGTCCATGGATGGGTTTACCACAATTAAGCCGGAAATGCTCACCTCTGGTCCAGAAGAAACATCACCATCTGATAAGAAAGCCATCTCTGCTGCCAAGCTTGCTGAGCTTGCTCTTGTAGATCCAAAGAGGGCAAAAAGGTAGCTCTTCATATATAAAACTAGTACAAATAAGGAGACTGGATTTGAATTTGTGTCAAGTTTTATAATTGCAAAAATCTGCAAGATATGTGATTAATTTGTAGTACTGCTGTTCTCGACTTCTCATCATGAAAATTTGAAACGGCATTGAACTCTTTTCATCTTAAACTTAATTCGTAACTTCTTGCTTTTGAGTTTTAATTTTGCCATGTTGCTAGGGAGAACATAGTCCATAACCTGCTTTTGGTATTTTCAATTTCCCATTTTTGTTCCATGTTGTGCTTAGCAGGCAAGCCTGGATACTCTCATGTGCGTACAATGCATCATGGATTATCTGCTCTAAACTGCATGGTAGCACCAACTAAGATGTGCTAACATAGTGCCAAACTTACACTAGTTTTGATATTTTGATTGATAACAAATTCAATTAACTTATGGTATTATCTAGGGTATGTTGTTTTACAATTGGTGAATATATCTACCATGTAACATAGTGATGATGGCATTCTTTTATCTTCTTATCTCACAGTCATCTGTCTTGATATGCATTGTTTGTTGCCGCGCTTTTTTGTAGTTTGATCTAGGTATTGCATGTGTAACACATAACTACATAGATAATTTGAAATTTCTGCATAACATGGATTTAAATTAAAAGTGTAGCATAAGTCTTTATTTCCACTGTGAAGGAAAGGGAGAACAGCAGTAAGCCTTCAATAAATCAATACAGCACTAAGTGGGTAGGCAAAAAATGAATCTAAAAGAAATTATACAAAGCTTCAACCCAAAAGCAAATGTATGAGTTTGTGCAGTCTTCTCTTTGGTAACTCCTTAAGTATATGCCACTGATGGAAATCTCTCTTTACTAGTCGCCAATCTCATTATTGGCGAACCTTCACCGCTAGGCGTGCTAAGGAGCATAAGGCGCAAGAGGGTGGCCTTTTCTATGGTTGAGGCAAGGCGCGGCGCATTCACGAGGCGACATAATGCGCTGCACCTTGGCTGAAATTCTGTGTTTTTTAAAAATAAATCTTCTCGTCTTCTCATTTTTTATCCCTTTTTATTCCAAAACCCACCTCATTTCTCATCTCCTCACATTCCCTCTTCCTCCCTCTTGAATGTGTAGTGCTTGGCTGTTGCTCCCTTTTGATCGTACCTCTTAAAAAAAGTAACATACTTACATTATCTGGTTTAGTTTAGATATGCATATTTGATATTCTTTATTATTGGAAAAGGTGCGCCTCGCATTCCTAAGGTACGCACCTTGCGGCTACGGCCCGGGACCCTTTTGCACCTAAGTGCGCCTAGGGCCTTTAACAACTTTGTCCTTATATCCAAATTTCTAATCCTATCTTGTATTGTGTAGCTACATATCCATCTTAACTCAAGTAGCAAAATAGACATGTACCCATAGGTGTATCTAAACAACAGATGTACAGAGCATTCATTTTTAGTGCCAAAGGATTGCAAGTACTTTTCTATCCAGGCCGTCCCACCTTAGGTTTGTGCATACCCGTGTATCTTCCATATGATTTAACAAATAGATTTCAGTTACAAAATTTGTTAATAAGCTTCAAGTAGTATGTGGTGATATACTCAATTCTTCATTCAGACTTTGCTTTGTTTTAGTTGAACTTTGTCACGTTAATCTAGATTCTATTTCTGTTGGGTATTTGATTATATCAACAGGTGAAATATTGGTTTTAAAATTCATAGTTTTGTGGGCACATATGCACAGACCGATGCTGATGGTACAGGTTGTGGGCTGGTACATGAAGTTTCAAAATATCATGTCTATTTTTGTATCCACACTTGTTTGATTAACGAGTTGCTTGAGTATATCCATGGGTGTACACAACCTGACCCATTATGAGGTCTAGCCTGAAAATTCAACTTTCTATTGCTCATCTTGTCTAATGTTGTCCTGGCCCAACATTGTGTCCCATACATCATCTGACCACCTTGTGCTCCTTATCTCATGGCTAAGATCTTCATCGTTCTTTCATCTTTTCTATAGTGCCTAAATACTGAATGATATAATTGTAACCACTGTTATTTGAACATGCATGCTACTCATCCAGTTTCATATGAGAGACTATCAAAATTGTATGTCATAAACTATTCTATTTCTAGCTTTAACTTAAAAGTCTTAGGTTCTAAAGTGTCCCTCTGAACCTTCAGCTTTGCATGACAACTGTCTAATGTCATCAATGAACGATGTTGTCATTCATGAACGGAAAACATCGTGTATCAAATTCTGTTTCTTTCATGAGCTCATTCATAACTAAAGCAAAAAATGAGGACTCCAGTCTAACATTGGTCTAACCTTATGTTTGTTGCTATGTGGTCATAGATATCTTCAATCATGTTCACATACACTGTAGGGGGGTTCTTCTTTTGAGACCACCACATTACTTCTCTTGGCACCTTATCATATGCGTTTTCTAGATTATGTGCAAATCCATTTTATTTCTGTTCTCTATCATTTATCTCCCTTGATGTGAAACCAAATTTATTTGCCAATCATTTAGTCTCATCTCTTAATCTACATCCTGTAACCCACTCATATTTTCATTGGATGGCTTATGAGCTTGAGCTCCTAATAATGGGTGTAGTTTTAAATATCTCATTGATTCTTGTAGGTTGGGACCAAGGTACTCGTCCTCTATTCCTTTGAACTCTTTTTGTTGTAACTTGTAAGGATATCATTAAATAATCTATTAATAATACACCTGTGTCTACATGAGTACTCGTCATGCATAGAGCTTTATATACTTCCATCCTTCTTAGCATCTCGATCTCCAAATTCTGCATATAAACCTTCTATTAGTATGATCACATTTTAATCAAAAATTCTAATGCATGTCGCTATTTTGGTTGATTGACTTATCAAAATAGTTCCTCCATCCTTCTGTAACCTCAACATCTTTAATAGAAGGCTTTAGTTTTCTTTCCTTGATGCAGTTGATGTGAATCAGGCTCCATCCATTCTCTATTGTTCATATTTGTGGGTCCCATATTTATTTTTTCTCACGTCAAATAAATGAGACCTGTAGTCAATAATTCATTTCTGGTCACCATATAGACAAGGCCCACAAAATGGAAATGCAAAATGTTCAAAAGGAGATCTTATGTCCCTAGAAAGGGGGGTACAAAGTGAAAATAATGTACAATGAATGCCTTATTTGATTTCATTCCAGAAACAAGTGACATTGAGCTCACTTGGGAAAAATCATCCTTCCCAGTTAACGCAGACTTAAAACTAATTGCTTTATCAATATTTGTTGGAATTCTCTTAGTTTGAGCGGTGTTCATATTTATGCAATTTATATACCTTTATGGTCTGTACTCTGTATCATATGCGTAGTTTGACTCTTCTCAGAATATGGATATCTTTACTTTTTTGTAGTCTTCCACTCATTTCTGACTCGCTCAACGTTTGCTGCAACTCTTGCTCTGTTAACATTTATGTTTCATTCATGTTTATCTGTGTCTTTCTCTCTCGCTCCCTGACTTGTCATCTTGCAGAGTTTACTTTTTCAATATTGTGTTTAATGAGTTGTAACATGCCTAATCTCATGCTGGACCTTGACATGTTTTAATGTATATCTTATTGCCCTGTCTTATTAGGGTATTGGCAAATAGGCAGTCTGCTGCAAGGTCAAAGGAGAGAAAGATGAGATACATAGCGGAGCTTGAAAGGAAAGTTCAGACACTGCAAACAGAAGCAACATCACTGTCTGCTCAACTTATCCTTTTACAGGTTTGTCTAATCCTTGCTCAGTGACGTGACTGCGGTCAAGTAGGATGGTATTTTGGATCATAATTTGTTCTATTAGTTGCATGTCTTAGCTTTTTTCTTGGTGCAACTTTGTTGTCAAAAAAGAATTTGTTTTGCTGGACGGTAATATCTTACTTCTGATTTTGTTTTTTCAGAGAGATACAAGTTGCCTGACAGCTGAAAACAGTGAATTGAGGGTGCGTTTACAAACCATGGAGCAACAGGTTCACTTGCAAGATGGTACGTGGTTGGCAATCTTGGAGAGAGTTATCTTCTCGTATCTCCTCATTCGTTTCCGCATTTGAATTTTCAATCATTTATAACTAGTGAGTTAAGCTTTGTGTCCCCGGCTCTTTGGAAGTGTAACAGCCCTAATTTTCAGCCACATATATAGATATATATACGTATCATTATCATAATTTCTTATAAAGTTAAGTTGTTTCTAAAGGCCTTTAATATAAGAACTAAAACAAAGTAAATAACATTATTAAATATATATATATATATATATATATTAATAAATAAGTAAGCAAGCATACAAGTAGCGTACAAAGCTACTTACCAATAACCACATAAGTAGTTAAAGACAAACAACATGAGCCACAAAAATTCTTATGACAAAGCAAGCCTACTCTTTATGACAAAGCAAGCCAGAGAATGAGTTGTAAGAGAAAAGGAGTTTGTGGCAACCCTAAAAGTATTACAAGGCAAGGCTAGAATGAACAAGTACGTATGTGGCATATCCTTAGAAACTTACAAGTTGAAAAGCTAAGTGAACAAGTACCTTAAAGCATACCTTACACCCTATAAATAGAAGCTTAAAGGACTCATTCTTTTCCATCCCAAGATTGTAATACTACCTTCAAGCATAATAAAGACTAAGAAGTGAGTTAGGAAGTCCAAAATAAAGTGAGTACTTATGAGATTTATGAGATGCGTACATGCCACATATATAAGTATTTTATGCATTACAAGATATTTTGGCATGTTTGCTTTACGTGGAAATGTTATACAAAAGATGCATGATGACATGTTTTAATACTAGTATGTGTTTTACACCAAGTCATGAAAGTGTTTGCATGTTATAATACATGTATGTACACAAGGCATGAAAGTTTTTATACATGTTAAGTACAACCATTTAAATATCCAACATACGAGATGTGGAAAGAAGGTATGTCTTGCAAACGGACCTTATTGGGTAGCTCTTATGTGGACCCGAGGTTAAAGAACATGTGAGAAGTTGGTTTACTTAACATGTAACCATGAGATCTCAAAGAATTGTTTTTATACATGAAAATTTATAAGAATTATTTTAATTAGTTGGAAAGAATGTTTTATCATGAAACCATAACTACTCACTAAGATTAAAGCTTACGTATTCATGTATGCACCTCAAGAATCAAGGAGTAGGAACAAGCTGAAGTATTGCTATTCTAAGATGTTAGAATATTATAAGATGTAAATTTTCAGCGTCTTCCGCTGTTGTATTAACTCTGTTATATTGGAATAAAATTTTAAGATATGAAGTTTTCTTTCATTCACTTGTACTAAGGGCAAAGGACTATACCCTCGGGAACGAAATTTCACAAATGGTATCAGAGCCTTTGGTTCAAGTGAACTAAGTTCGGTCTTAGATTAGACAAACCTAGACTTGAACAACATTTTTTTAAGGTACATTTTATAAGGATTTCTAATGCAAGGAACGAAGGAGATTTGTTTGAGTATGGAAATGGATGGTTACACGAGTCACCATAGAAGGCCCGTATTTCATCTTAAACCCTCCGAATCAAGTGCTTGAACCGATAATCCCAACTCTAAATCACGTACCTGAACAAATAGTTCCATATTACAACCCAATGGAACCACCAAATAATCCTAATGCAACTATAAATAACTCTGAGGCCTCTGATGCAAATGACCACGCTATATTTTCATACTCATGGGAGGACTTGCATTGGCAGTAAGAAGTTGCCTTTCATGGCCACATATCTTTCCGGCTAAGGAATGGGAAATCCTTCTCCTGTTCCATGAATCCAATTTGCATTTCATCCGAGAAAAGCCATCTTTTTCTCAACAATTTAGCACATTCATGCTAATTAGCAGTTCCAGCTCCATATCAAGGATATCGTCACTAGCACCAATATCGGGGCATGGCATACATATGGTGAGCTACAACAATGGTTAAAGAGCCTAACATAGCTAGGTTAAGAGATAATTGAGCATGCCATGACGTTGTTAGGATCTCATATAGGCCTTTATGGCCCTTCGGAAAATTCCCTTCAACTATTGATGTAAAATAAAAAATATTGTGGAGTTCAAGGGAAATATCCATCTCTACCTCACATAGTGCACCCTCCCTCACTTGGTTTAAAAATGCGCGCCTAATGCGAAGTGATGCGTGATGCGAAGTGATGCGATGAAGAAAGCGCATCAAAGGTACTGATGCGATGCGATTCCGTGATGCGATCGCATCACCTACGCATCAATCGATGCGTGCATCAGTCGAGCATCAGCGCATCATGTATATGTTGCGTTTTTTGGGCTTTTTTGCAGTATTTAGTTGGGCCTATTAGTTGGGCTTCTTATGTTATTGAAATAGAACGTTAAGACTTTAGCCTGTGTTAAGTTATCGACCTAATCGAAGCCGACGCAAAGAAGTAGAACGTTAAGACTCGAATCAATAGTCGATAGCAACAGCTCGACAGTCGACCTAATAGCCGATAACCTGTTCGATAGCCTGTTCGATAGCAATAACGATAGCAATAAGCCGATAACCTGTTCGATAGCAATAAGCCAGTAACCTGTTCGAAGCAGCAGCAGCAGCTCAGCAGCTCGACAGTCGATAGTCAACGACTCAACAGCAAAAGATCGACAGCCTATTGCGAGTTCAAATTCAAAAGATCGACAGCCTATCGACCAAGACAGTCAACAACAAGAACTCAAGAAGCAGCTCGACAGTCAACAGCAAGCAAAGTGTAGAAATAGAAGTCTGACCAGCTTAGAGAATGTCGGAATCGGAACCTATTGCGAGTTCAAATTCAAACACTTCATCAGGTGACCCCGGTAGAAAATATGGAACTCAAGATCCTAAATGTAGGAACAATTTCACTTGCCACTTTTGTGGTAAAGTAGTCAAGGGTGGTGTATATCGTTTAAAATGGCATTTTATTGGAGGTCTATCGGCTGTTACTAGTTGTCCAAATTGTCCAGAACATGTAAAAGAAGAAATAAGGTCTTATATGCAGAAAAAAGAAGTAGCGAAGGTGGAGAATATAATGAACTCAAGTTACTTAAATTTGGATGATTATGATCTTGGTGAAGAGGACGATGABTGYGTTGAAATAGAAGGTGGTAGTAGTAAGGTGCCCACACGAAAAAGACCRAGACAAAAAGGTCCCCTAGATAGGTTCTTCACTCCTAATCCTGAAGACGTGATCAAAGGTAAAAAAGATGGAAAAGGAGGGATACAACAAACCATAAATGCGGTGGTTCGAAAGGAGTTAAGGGATAAAGCTTGTACGCAAATAGCAAGGTGGTTTTATGATGCCGGCATTCYTTTTAATGCCGCTACTTATGATAGCTTTAGTGYAATGATTGAAGCTATTGGCCAATTTGGCCMCRGAATGAAACCACCAARCATGTATGAGCTAAGAGTCCCTTTACTCAACCAAGAAGTAAAAACCGTTGAAGAAGAAGTAAAGGAACATAAAAAGGAATGGGCCCAAAAAGGTTGCTCTATTTTATCGGATGGATGGCGTGATTCGGTTGTCCAAAAAGACATAATTAACTTCATGGTGAACTCTCCAAGGGGTTCTGTATTTGTGAAGTCTATGGATGTTTCCGATGTCTCTAAAGATKCAAATTTGTTGTTTGGGATTCTTGATAAAATGGTGGATGATGTTGGAGAAGAAAATGTAGTCCAAGTGATCACCGATAATGCATCTGCGTACGTTAAAGCG